AACTTGATCTATTTTATACTCTTCTTATTATTATATTATTTAAGTAGAACGCCGGTTACTGCTTATCTAATACAATAGTAGTATATTGGGCAAAAAAATTTTTCACCTTTTTTTTCATAATATATAACTTATCATAAAGACAAAATTAAAAATTTTGTATCGCATTATTATTGCGATCAAAATTTTTATTGTATGTCATAGAAGCTGCTAAAAGTTATCTGTTGGATCCCACTGCCCATAAAATATGTATTTTCAATATTGAATTCTAAAGGACCTAATTTAGTACGCATTTCTTAGATGAAATGACACGAGCCAATGAGAATACTGAACTAAATTTGAAGATTAAAGATAATTAATGCCAATACCAATAATGACGAATCCAGAAGATTAAAAACCCGCATGTTATTAACGAGATCATATCTAGGGTTTATGGCAGGTTTATATAGAGCCATCATGACTGTGATATGCCACTAAGTGTGTGAGTTGTTATCCGCAAAGTTCTTGCTTTTTTTTTTTTTATGATTATTTATTTTTTCATATCATTGTTACCTTTTTCTAATTTCAAGGCAGCGTGGCCGAGTGGTTTAAGGCGCCAGGTTTAGGCCCTGGTTCGAAAGAGCGCGAGTTCGAACCTCGCCGCTGTCATTTTTTTTTCCCTTTCATTTTTCCATAATCACTTTTAATAGGATTTCTGAATTGGTAACAAAATTTATTTTTTTTTTAGTTTATTCATAACTTTCTTTAATTATGAAATGAACTATTTTTAATTTATTTTTACAATATTGATTAATTTCCTCATTATTTTTAAAATTTTTTTTATTGTATTTGGAACATTTTTCTATTGAAAATGGTGTAGTTGTTCATACAGTTTTGTGAATTATTAAAAATACTCAAAAATTTGTGGAAAATAATTACTTAAACAATGATATAAAAAAAAATTTAAGAAGGAGAATCTCCGCTAAATTTACTACAAAACTCAGTAGGCAGTTTTATTATTTTTTGTTTTAAAATTTTTGAGAAAATAATGGAAGTATATAATGTGATGTACAATAAACGCCAAAAAATTGATAAAATCAAAAAGGAAAATTTTAAAAAAAAAAAGGGATTTGTGGAGAAATGAACCATATAAAACTTGACTTTTAACAGTGATGGTCAAAAAATCCAAAATTAAATGGAAATGTATGAAAAATTAATAAATAAAAAATTTTTATTTAAGATTTTTTGAGAAAAATTTATTATCAAACTCTAATAATTAGGAAGATAAAAAAGATACAACTACTGAAAAGTTTTTTAAATTTTTTTATTTTATAAATGGAAATAAAATGTTCAGTCATTTTTTAGGTTCTTTTGTTGGAAAAAATAAAAAAAGAAACATTTTTCTGCTTTTTTTAATTAATGAAAAGAAAAATATGGAATTTGCGCATAATAACGCTTATCCTTTTTTTTTATTATATATAATCTATTGAAACTAACATTTGAAATTAGAATGAAAATTTTAGGAAAAATTAAAATTTTTCAATTCAAGCAATTTCAGCTTCACAAATGGCCCCTCCAAAAAGACATCATAAACTTTTGATTTGTTTAAAAAAAAAAATAAAAATAAGTCAGAGCACAAAATTTTATCTTTTTTAACTAAAAAAAGCTTTTTTTTTCCAAGATATATTAAGTTTTTTAATGTGGAAGATTGATTATTTTATTGCATCTGAATTCGGAGTAAATACCAAAAATAAAAAACATTATAAAATAAAACAATAAAGGTTCAAATTTGCATTAAAAAAAATAAAAATAAAAAATGCTTAACTCCTTGCTACTAGCATCTACATTAATTTTAAAAGCTATTTCAACACCGATTGTTGGAGGTACTGAAGTTGGATCCAACCACGTTTACCCTTGGATGGGAATGCAGCAATCCAATGCTTCTTGGGTGTCAAATGACGGCTCTTTCCATCAATCTTGTGGTGGTTCCATGATAAGAGAAAACGTCTTAGTTACAGCCGCTCACTGTCATGTTATCATCACCAATTTAAACCAGCTAAAGGTGTTCAGTCATGTATATGATTCAGACAAAGTAGTTGAAGAACAAGCTATTGAATTTAAAGTTGTTAAAATTATTAAACATGAAAAATTCGATGGTGTTGGAAGCAATCCTCCAAATGTATTGAAAAAACTAAAAAAAAAAAAACCTTTTAACTTTATTCTAAGGCTTTTGATATCTCTCTGTACATTCTAGAACAAGTGTCAAATCCATCTAATAGAAAAGTAGAAACTATTGAAGTAGCTAGCTTTGATCCCAACACAATAAATGATCAAGGGCCTATTAAAACCATTGGTTGGGGAGCAATGACTGATATTAGTGTTAATGCTAATCAATCAAAAACCCTACGTGAAACTGAACTACAATTAGTTACCTTAGATTATTGTACTGAAATTTATAAACAATATTATACTTTTGATAAAGTTGGACCTGAATTTTTATGTGCAAACGACGGCAACGTTGGTTTACGTTCTATTTGTTACGGTGATAGTGGAGGTATAAATATTTTTATTTTTTTATTATTATGTATTTATTTTATTTTTTTCAAAAACTTTCAGGACCGTCTTTTACCATCGAAAATAATAAACCAATTCTTCAAGGAATTAGTTCTTGGGTAGAAGGATATTGCGAAGCTGCATCCATAAAAAGTGTTCCAGTCTTGTATGTTAGAGCAAGTTATTTTAAGAACTGGATTGAAGAAAAACTAGCGTTGGAAGGATTGTAAAAATCTTTTATTTTATTTTTTAAGTTTATGTTAAAATAAATTAGATATGAAAAATATATTTATTTAATGAATTATTTATTGTCATACAACATTACTAAAAAAATTTTAAAAAAAATCTTTTTTTCTTCTCTTTAAGCAATTAAATTTTAAAGAATATAAAAAAGAAAATTTAACAAAAAAAGATAAAAGAAAATTTGATTAAATGAGGAAATAAGTAAAGAAAGAGTAAATTGATTAAATCGGAGGATTCCATTGAGATTGGCCAGTTGTGGTGTTCACGTAAAACCAATTTCCAGTTTGAGGATCTTGTTGTTGTAACCAGTTAGGAGGTAAAGATCTAATAACAAAAATTATTTATTTTATCTTCAGAATTTTAAAAATAAAAATTTACGAAAAAGTTTGCACATTATCATTATTTCCAAAATTTCCGTTATTGTTAATTTGCGCAGGTAGGGATTGATCATTGCTTCTTTTACTATTTTTATTTTTTTTATTTTTTATGTACAAGAGAACTGAAACGATTATAATAAATAAAGCAATTAATCCTATCCAAACGTAAGGAATGTTTATCCACGCCATCGGGGAATTACTTGGAGTGTTTTTACCTAAACCAGCTTCAAGAATGTTTCCACCACTCCAAATAATTGGAGGGTTAACAGTTCCACCAAGTCCCATCCCAAAAAGATTAATTGAAGCTTCAACATTAGGTTCCTTTTTTTTAATTTTTTTTTATTTTATGTATAAAAAAAAAAAAGATTACCAAATTAACAAAAGTGTAATACATGTAAAAATTTGATTTGGGCCATCTACACAAATTGGCAATACACGCACCAACAGTAAATGGTTTACAAAAACAATTTTCATCAGCAGCTTGAATCTCAGGAGTAGAATTAAATTTATTAGTAAAGTTTGTATTTTTATAGGCCAAAAATTGAGATAAAGTTTGATCAATGATAATCCAATTATAATTGTTAGTCAAAGATTGAACATCATAGGCCACCAGGTAGTCATCTTCTGGAATAGGAATCTAAAAATGAAAAAATTGAAGTTAAGAATTTAAAAATAATGTAAGTAAACTGAAGTTTTTTAGAAAGTAAACAGTTGTGAAAAAAAAATTATAAGTTTAATAAAAAATAAAGGATTTAAAGGTGTAAGAAGTTAAAAAAAAAGAGTAAGTGGATAAAGTAGTAAGAGTACTAAAAAAAAAAAAAGAGAATTTAAACAAAAGACCTGAAAGGTTATGACATGGTTTGTGCTGTTTGGACGAAAAGGAGCAACCGTGAAGTTTTGGGACCCACTCAAATCGACGGAACTTGCAAAACACAAATGCAGAGCAACTAATAATAAGAGGTTTTTCATTTAGGTTTTTTTTGGTTTTTTTTTGAGATTTCCATTGCACCGCCTCCTCAGATGTTTAAATGTTGTAACTCATTGTATGAGCTGTATACAGCTCATACAAAACGGTCATCAACAATTTAACCTTTTTTTTTAAAACAGTTTTGTGATATCCAGGGCTTTAATTGAGAATATTCTTAAAACACAGTTGTAACTGAAAAAACTTATCAAGGTACAAAAGAAGCAATTTTTCAAGTTAAACTGGTTGTTTGATAACTTTTATAAATACTTGATAATTTTTCTACATTTAAGAATTTAAAAGAACTATTCATAGTGACTTCATTTACATCAAACAAAAAAATTTTTAAGATTACTCAGTTATTCAACAAAAGAAAATTTTTTTATAAAAAAAGCAATAGTAAAAAATATATAGTTCCAATTGGTTTACTTTTAAAGGAGATATTTCCAAATATGTAATTGTATTACCAATCCAACCATAATAGTTAATTTGGGTGATTTATCTTAACTTAAGGTAGTTTTAAAGTCATAATTTTAGATTTAAAAGTTGGAATAAAAAGAAGCCTTCCCTTCAACAGTAAAACGAAATGGTGCATCAAGAATAGGCTGCCATTGCAGGTTTTGGGAACGAAGCCTTGTATAACAAAAAGCAGTATCACATATCTTTTAATAAGTGACAATTTCTTTTTAATTCTAAGTAATAGATATGATTGCTCCAATTTTACTTCAACTTTTATTCTTACCTCAGGGCTGTCATGTGTAATATTTACATATTTACAAGTGGACATAGTTATAGTGCCAACAGGAAACAAAATTATTAAGTTGAAAAGTTTTTTATGATCTTGATATACAAAATCACTTAAATTACAATCCCGTCATCTAAAAATTATCCTCTTAAAAATAATCTTTTAATGCTTTGTCATCAACTTTCCCTTTGTTGTTCTACTACCAATAATAACAATAATTGTGTACAAAAAAACTTGGATACATCCTAATTCTTATTTCATTTAGTGTCCTATTTTCACAATAGTGTTCAAATTTTAGAATAAAGGAAAAAAAATTTTTTTTTTTAATATAAAAAGGATAAAAATTTTAACTTTTTTTTTTTTTTTTTTTTTAATATCAAAAAAAACAATTAATTAAAATTTGAATAAAAAATTAAAATAAAAAAACAATGACAAAATCTGATCAAACAATTACTGAACAAATTTCTCAAACAGCAAGTGATGCTTACAACAAAGTTAAAAACACTGTTATGCCTGA